ATTAGTCAATACTTTTCTTTTTCTGTGATATTAGTTTTGCTTATAAAAAATGTACACAATACAATGTACAAATTCAGAATTCACTGCAATCAAAATTATTTGAAAAGTTAGTGGAATCAGTTTAAAGATCAGAAGAGGACTTGGGTTTGGTTGCAAAACTATTTTAGATGATCATTGTCACCCCTAAAGGAAACTTGATATTTAACTATAAATGTCCTCTAGTTGGGAACAATAGTTAAGCCTATATGGGGCATGCTAGGTCGAGTTTCTGCAATTAACCTATTGTTTCAGATTTGGTGGGAGCAGCAATAATCTGCTTGGAACCAATATGGCCCAAGTTATTAATTTTAAAGCCTATCGAATGCCGGGTTCTGAACATATAAGGAAGACTCCGTCCTACAATTTGGTGGTGTCAGGGAGGGGCAGAGCCCTAAACACCGAGAGATTCCAAACATGAGAAATGCTATGAGCCAGTCCAAAGTTATCTAAAGTTAGTGATTTGACTAGTTTTCCATGGGGAACGTGGGAGTTTCATCACAGGGATAAAGGGCATTTGAGCTGAACCGTAAAAGATGCTGGAGGAGTTCTAGATAAGAAGGGGGAGAGGTCAGAGTGTTCCAAAGAGAGAAACTTCCGGTCCTGGACATTCCTCCTCTGAGTCGGCCTGGTATGTGGCAAAGGAGCAGAGACACCTGTTCGTGAGATGGCATCAGAGAAAGAGATCCGGATCGAGTCCTAGGTCCTTGTCCTCAGGAGATGCGGGGCTTCCGGCAAGGTGCCATAGCTAAGGCGCAGTAGGGTAGCTGTAAGGATGAGCTGTAAGGATGAGCAGGAAGTGCCACCCAGCACCCAGCAGACGGTCCATGCGCAGTGACTGCCTTTCCCTCCACGGGAAGAACTTGAGCAGGTCCATGGCATAGACTGTGCAGGTGACGAGGTCTTTATTACCTGTGTGCACCGGGTTGCCATAAACGAAGCCTTTCTCCGTGAATTCGGAAAAACGCTGCCATCCAACTGCGGGGGAAAGAAACCACTGACATTTTAGGCGGAAGAGGAGCCGGGGGCCCAGAGTGGGGAGAAGCGAAGGAGATAGACAAGAGGGGAGGGTCCTGGAGGCCGGGCGGGGGCATCCCACCTCTGGTGAGGTACCAGAGCACCGTGGACACCAAGACCCACGCTCGCATCGCCTCTCGGGGGCTAGCGTCCTGGGGAGGCGTCGAGGGGGGCCTGCTCCTTCCTCCCTCGGCCCCGCCCAATGCCTCCTCACCCCCCTTCCACTGGGCGGGGCAAACCGCCGGGGTCACGCCCGGGGGCGGGGCGAGAGGGCTCTGGGCATGCGCACTGGAGGCCAGCGGCCTGCCCCGCCCCCTAGAGCGCATGCGCACGCACGTGGCCTGCGTCGTGTGGAAGCTTCGCACCTCCGGTCTGACGCCATTTTCCCGCGCGTGCTGGCATCCTGCTTCTCTGAGCAGCCTGGCCTTCCCGGAAGGAAAGAGGACAGGAAAAGAACCCAAGGCGTGGCGTTTCGGCCACTTCCGTAGGCTAGGGGCTGAAGAGCTCCCAAGAAGAACACTGCAGGTCCTAAAGATGGCGGCGGGGTAGGGCGGGCTGGGCGTGGGATTGTATTAGGCCCCAGAGAAGGGAGAAGCTTGTGAGAACTTCCACCCTCACAAGGATCAGAGAGCATTTCCGGTGTCCTTTTTCTCGTGAACAGCGTCTGAAACTGTGTCAACCACCTTTTTCAAACTCTCATACCCACTTTGTACCCAACTGCATTTTCCTACCCACGAGACGAAGGAGGTGTTTCCATGCCTTCCCACTCCACAGGAACGTTTGAGCTTCGTTTTTCAGCTTCACCGGGTGACAGGAGAGACCTTGCGTTGGCTGCAAGTCTGTGTAGCCATGCAAATCTGTGCAGTCACCTTGCGCTTAGGAATGGGCTCTGTTGAAAGGCAAGAGCCCCCCAATCTGCTATTCCCGGGGGGATGGAGAAGGCAAGGTCAGAGGACGCCACGGAGACCAGGCCGGCGTCTTTCCTGCTTCCTTCCTGGCTACTCCCTCGGAGGCCCGAAAGCCTCTGCGTGTTGTCTGTTTCTTAGCAGCGGGACACCCTCGGTCGTGGTTTTGAGTAGGCTGGTGGGTAGAGAGCCCAAGGTTCAGACAGGGTGCAGAATGATTATTTTGGGTGAGATCAAGAGATGGTGTGTGTGTGTGTGTATTTTTTTTTATCTTTCTTTTTTCAGTTTTATTTCCTTCCAGCCAAGTCAGTACTTGGACTGTCTCAGATGGTCCAGGAGCAACCTTTGTCAGTGATTTCATTTTTAGTCACCGTTAATTTTACTTACATAGCATCAGCCATGAAATGTGATTAACTGAGTCAGATCCACCCCTGCCAGTTACCATGTCTAGATTCAGTTTAGCCCCAACTGTTCCTTCTTAAGGCGGCGAAAATGAGGACAAAGTATCTTTGATTCCCTAGAAGTTTACCAAAGTTTATTCCTGTTTTAGTCAAAGTACGTTATAAATCCAGTGTTTTATTAGCTTCCCAGTTATAAGTAATTGATCCTTGTAAATCCTGTATGATAAATGTGAATGCTATCAGAAGGAATTTAACCAAATGAATGGTATATTTTTGTTGGTTTCAGAGAGGAAGGGAGAGGGAGAGAGAGATAGAAACATCAATGATGAGAGAGAGAATCATTGTCTGGCTGCCTCCTGCCCGCCCCCTACTGGGGATCGAGCCTTGAAACCTGGGCATGTGCCCTTCACCAGAATCGAACCCTGGATCCTTCAACTCTAACAACTGTTCAGATCTAAGAACTGAGCCAAACCAGCTAGGGCCAGATTTCCTTATTTTTTAGCTAATGTTCTTTTTCTGCTCTAGGATCCCATCCTGTTTCCCATATTATATTTAGTTATCATGTGCCCTTAGGTTCCTCTTGGCTGAAACAGCTTCTCAGACATTTTATAAAATTTGATGGCTTTGACAGTAACAGTTTTGATTATATCGATCTGACCTTTGATCTTAGCTGGTGGGGTTCTTTGAAGAATGTCTTTCCTGGAATTTGCCTGTTGTTTTCCTCACTCGTAGTCTGGGATTGTGGGTTTTTGGTGTGGAAAGCTACAGAGGTAAAATGCCCTTCTCCTCACATCATAGCAAGTGAAAATTCTATCAACATGCCTTACACTATTAATGTTACTTGATCACCTGACTGAAGTAGTGTTTACCAGGTTTCTCTATTATAAAATTCTCTACTATAAAATTACTATACTTTTTTGGAAGGAAACCACTATGTGAAGCCCACGCTTATTTTACCTCTTAGGTATCATTCTCTGGAGTTGGAAATATACAATTTTGAATTATTTAGAGAGTAGTAACACGTTCCAATGTTAACTATAAAGAACATTGCCATGAAGATAAAAGTTTTTTTTTTAATAACTTCTTAATATTCATCCTTACACCATCCATGTGAAGTTTTACAGTTCCTCTTCTGTTACTTTGATGTGCTATTTTTTGCTTATAGAAACTAACAAACAACAAATTTCCCCTTTCAATACTAAAATTAGACTTTGTGTTTAAAGTATTTCTCTGAAATTGATATTATCCTGTAGAACTCCAATCCATACAAGTATAGAGATGCCTAGCCTTAAAACAAAGCCAATCTAAGGCACTCACTAATTTTTAAAAAACCACACACACACACACACATAGATATGTATATATGTTGACCTTCTGTACCAACACGTATTTAAAATAAACTAAAATTCATAAAATTGCAAGCATACTTTAACTTGTAAGAGTGGGTTTCTTCTAATATGATCTGCTGATGCACAGACTCACAACCTTAAGTCTCAGATATATTTATATTATATACACTAATAATATAAATTTTATACCAAGGGTGGTAGTGATCTTTTTGAGGATCATTCATATATTGTCCAATTCAGTACACTAGGTATCTTTATAAGTCTAAACATGTCCCTTAGACTTAGTGTGAAGAAAAGATCTACTTTTGAAAAACTGTTATGTGGTCATTTTCCCTTTCCTCTCCCTACAGACAAATGTGTGCTTTACTCTATCAAGTGGGAAGGATGTTGGGAAAAGATGCTTATAGTACATCTTTGTGCACTGACATCTTTGAGTTAATTTTACTATCTTATCCCCTGATCCTTACCTCCACTTTTTAAAAACGTACTTTTCTGATACATTATATATGTATTTTTGTAAGCTATCTGGGGTCCTATTTGAAAGAAGGCAGGGTAGTAAAAAATTCACATGTGTAGCATTTTGTGAGTGGTGGCAGATAAACTAAGCAGTTCCCAGAAAGGAAAACCCAAGTGAGAGAATTGCTTCCCAAAATGAAAAAGTTGAGTTGATAAAAATGTCCAAGTCCTTTTTTGAACTGTCCTAGAAATTTCTGCAAATTTGGACCAAGAACTTCTATCATGTGAAATGAAAACTGAGGAAGAAAAACAGAATACTTCGAATGAAGTTCTCATTGTCATTCATGGCTATGATCTCGGAATCTAGACCAAAAGTTCCAGATCTTGCTCAACTTAAGACAAACCTCTTTTAACTTTAAACTTGCAAGAGAGCCGTGCAGACTCCCCCGCCCCTGACCCAATGTGATAATACTCTCCTATCCATAGTCTTCTAAAATAGACATTTTGAGACAAGTTGCTGATGCGCCATTTCCATCCTATCGGGGGTTCTCCAGTTTGACATTCAAAAAGGGGATGGAGGCGCGGGACCTCCTGCGCTCCTCTCCTCGGTGGGTGAGCGTCTTTCAAAGCCGCCGCCAGCCAGCGCCGCTGTAACCCCGCGCACGGCAGGTCCCGGGCTCCTGCCCCTTTCGATCTGCGCCGACTCGCCAGCGGATCTCGGGGACTCCCCGAGCCGGGAATCTCCCGCCAGCTGCGAGCTGCGTCCTGGCGAAGGCAGGAGCACGTGGAGTGGCCGGATAGCCAGAGCGGCTGCTCCAGCCCAGCCAGGCGGCGAGATGGAAGGTGAGCCTCCAGCCTGCTTCTTTGGTAAAGGGTCTTTGGAAAGCTCGGCCAGGGCACGCAGCAGAGAGAGTTCCTTCTGAATCTCGGTTTTGCTTCTATTTGTTTCTTTGGTCAAAAGTAAACATGAGGCATTTCAGAGGGAAAAGCGCGTCGGTTCTCCTCCATCTCATTTGCTTCCCTTCTCCTTGCCAACTTTGGAAAGGGGTAACTTGTCCGAAATGTTATTTTTTAGGGGGTGTCAAACATGAGGGGTCAACGCTTAAGTCTACAGAGGAAGAGCGCTTACGGGCGACCCTGAAATGGCAGCAAACATGGCTTGGAATAAATAATCCTTTTGGATCTTTCTTTTTTCATCTGGGGCCTCAGTGTCCATTGGCTTTAGGCTAATCTGAGTGGCATGTTTAGAAAGAAAGGTGACTTTTTCTTTAAAGAACAAGTGCTGTCATATAGGAAAGGTAAATTTTAAAATAGTTGGCATCTGCTGGTCCCTTGGAACTGGATCTTCCAATGGTCCCTTCTTTACCCAGAGCAAAAATCAGGCTCACATTGAGTTTCATTTGAATTAACTTTGAAAGCCATAAAATTATCCTCGCTTCTCCAAAAAATTTCCATATGTACTTCTTTGGGATAACTAAAATTTCACCTTATTATAAACTTTTCAATAGTCTTTTCAACAAGTGTTTACTAAAATCTTGAAAGTGGCAGATGTATCTCAAGTTGGGGGAGGTGGTCCTATTTAGAAAATCAGAATTTATGAGAAATGTGTTCATTTAATTAATAAATGAGAGAATGAAACCTAATTGAAATGTTAATTTTATAAATATCATGAATACCACGGATTTTTCTTCATAAAAAAATCAAAGGATCTCTTATTGCCAATGAACCTCATCTTTGGTAGCGTGAGGTCTAGAGCATATGAAGTTATTAAAGTTAGATTAATTTGGGATATGAAAATAAATATGATGAAGCTTTTATTTCACAATATAATTGAGTGCTGTGGTGTGGTCCTAAATCCTCAGTTTGTACAAGGGAATGCTAACAGTTTTTTGGCCCATATACACATCTTTTTCCCCTCTAAGTAGAATGCCAAATAAGTCAATGAACAGTATGTATTTAGTGTGTTCATAGAAACTTTAAAATGGCCATTATTGAATAATCTTCAAGTATTTTCTCTAATGAAAAAATTTTTATGCTTAAAAAATGTTTAATTATTAGGGTTTTTAAAAATAATTTGAAAATTGGCACTTTGAATATTTTAAAAATGATTTATGAAGTGTAATTTTTAACATGTAAAAGTTCTGGCCAAAGACAGGAAAAGCATTAGATTACTGTACATAATGAAAAAATACTTTTAAGAACTCTCATTCTTTTATTATAAATGAATTGCTGAATTTGTTTTTATGAAATTATAAATCAGGACGCCAACACTATTTTTTCTAGTCTTAGCCATTTCATTTCTCAAGAATAATGTACAGAATAGTGTAAATTCATGGAAATTAGGGTGATTCTCTGTAAATGTTACTACTACCAAATACATTTAATGTGAAGTAAAGAAATTATTAACTAAATAGCATAAATTAGAATAGTAATGCTCTAACAAAAATTTTTAGGTAAGCCTGGATGAAGACTCTCTGGGCAAGGAATGAAAACTTATATAGAATTCAGAATGTACTACATATGGGAAGAGATAAAATGTAGAATATAGATCAGTTGTGAGTTTAGATGACTAAATTCATAGGTCCATGGAGATGGATAGTATATAGTAAGCTTAATGCAAAAACTTCAACACTTAATAAAAAAAATTAAAAATGGTTAAAGATGTGACTTAAGCTATTCTAATGTCGAGTCCTTGAGAACAGAGTAATGTAGTTAAATATCTTGTTCATTGAGAGCTACCCAAGATTGACTAATAGGGCTTGTGTGTGATATTTAAGGTATATTTATATTATTTTGATATTTTGGTCTCAATCTAGCATAGAGATTTGATCTATATTGTATGCTCATTTTTTGACAATGTCAGAAAGTGGAGTACTTTATGGAATGTCTTTATTTTTTGCCCAATTTGTTGGCCAAATTGATATGCTAGAGTTTACTGTGAAGTTATATAGTTAATCATTTCTTTAGCATACAAAATCTTTTTAAATTCATTCATATTTTTATTCAATAGACATTTATTGAGACTTTATGTGTGCAAATATCAGATAAAATATGCCTTTGAAATATAGATCTTGTCATATAAAATTAGTCAATGTACATATTAAATCAGAAGCTATAAATTTTTTCTCATGATCTGTGATCCTAAATATTTTCTTTTTGTTTGTTTGTTTTTCATAGTACATATTTTACTTATATAGAATAGTGAAAGGTGAGCACAAATAATGGCTTGTAATCCAGTTTATATAGCATTATGCGCTGGTTATTTGTTCTGATGATCCTAAATATTTTTTTTATCCAAAGACTATTTATGTTACTAAATTTTGTTATTTGGACTGTAATTAGTTCCATCTATCTGGTATGGTTGGGAAATAAGGTTGTTCATAAATATAAATTTCACAAGTATTGGCATGTTTTTTGTTAAATATAAAATCTTTCTATTTAAACAATAATGGATAGAGATTTTTCTAAGTGTATTTGTTTTACAGCCCTCTGTTTTATAAAAGGTACACAAGAGATAACTTTGTTTTGGTGACCTTGGGTCACTATTTTGACTATCAGCTAACGTCTTGTTCTATAGTATATTCTCACAGGGGTTTTGAACTGTGCAGAACTGAATGACCCTACACTAATTATTCCCTGGGTATTGTGCAGTTTTTGTCTCCTTCTTGATGTCACCTTCTACTTCTTACCACATTGCTTTTGTGGAAGCCATTTTTCATTTCAAGGTCCCTTTCCATGCTCTGGATGGTTGAGATTTACAGAGATATACCCTTCGGATGGTGGAGTATACTAGCCCACCATTATGAGCTGATAAAGGGTGAAAGAGTAAAAGTCAAAGGAACAAAAGCCACAGAAAGGCCATGGGGTCCTACTAGGACATAATTTTAGAAAATTACCTATAATCCAGTGAAATAGACTCTTTCACACTTCTTCTATGTCTGCTAAAATTTTCACCGCTTTCATTACCTGGTTGTGCCTGTCTGCTCATCTTTCAAGACTCAGGCATAATCTCCTTCTGATGACCTTCCCTGTACCTTCTGGTACTTATTCTACCCAGTTCTTCACCTTCCTTAGCTAGGCTAGAGGCCTTTCCTTTCTGTGCATACTTCTGCCAATTGTACTGAAAATATTTGTTGATTTAAGTGTTTATTTCCCCACTAGTCTTTAAGCTTCTTATTTTTCTACATTCAGTGCTGGAAATAGTTCCTGGTTCATAAAAGACCCTCAGAGTTTGTTGCATTCAATTGAGAAACTAGTGCTGAGGAGTAATTTTTATTATGTTTATTATGATGCCTTTTTAAAATTAATTTTTGTGAGTAGGGGATTGGTATTAGCAATTCTTTGATAGAACTCAGAAAATTCATAAAGTACTTAATTACATGGTATAATAGAAAAAGGAAACTTAGAAAACAAAAATTTTGGTTTTTGTGTGTGTTTTGGCTAGCCTATAACTTAAAACCAGATCTTATCTATTAACTTTATATCAGCAGATTTTAGGATTACATATTAATTCATTGAAATACATATCAGATATAAGCAGAAATTTGTTTTCTCAATCAGCAAGATATAGATGATTAAAATTAGCATAAAAATTTCCAGAGATATTTTAAAAACATCTTATTATAAATTTGTCATTAGTATATAAATGTATAGTAGTATATACTTACACTTATTTGGGACTAAAATATCATTGGTAGGCATTTTATTGGCCATCCACTGTTAATTGGTTCCTAACTCAAGATTATAGTTCTTAGGTCATGTATGAGAACTGATCATCACAGAAACCTGCATGTAGTAAGTGCTCAATAAACCTTTTATTGTGCTAAGGATTCATTAATTATTGTGAAAAGAGACCCTAAACATCATAAGGACATATAGTGCACTCTGCTACTTAGCTTTTTAAAAATAAAATTCTCCATTAAGTGGTATATTTATAATTATTAAAAATCATAAGGATGACCCTAAGACCTTTTAAATCACCACAAAAAGGTGAGATAATATAAAAGTAATTATAGTAAATTTCTATTATATGTAAATGTGATCTATGTATAACTATTACTATAATGTAATATCTCAAAATACTGTAATCCTCAGTGATTATGAATGATAAAATTTTCAGTCTTAATTGAAACCTGTTTTTTGCATTCAGTTTTTAGAGTCTAAAGTCATGGTGTACAGTAAATCAAAATAATATGTAGTTGATACCATATATTGGATACTAGAGGCCTGGTGCATTGGGGGGAGGGTCACTCAGCCTGGCCTGTGCCCTCTCACAGTCTGGGAGCCCTCAGGGGGTGTCCAACTGATGGCTTAGGCCCACTCCCCTGGCTGGAGATCCTTAGTGCTGCTGCGGAGGTGGGAGAGGCTCCCGCTACCGCCACTGCACTCACCAGCCTGTGAGCCCGGCTTCTGGCTGAGCGGCGCTCCCCTGTGGGAGCCCACTGACCACCAGGGGCAGCTCCTGCATTAAGCATCTGCCTTCCTGTGGTCAGTGCGAGTCAGAGCAATGGGTCATTCTGCTGTTTGGTCAATTTGCATATTAGCCTCTGATTATATAGGATGTGTCCCATCTAAGAGAGATAAAAAAGTTGTGTTTACTAATGGATATGAAACAGAATAAAAGCATTTCTAGAACAATATTATTTTTAATATATATTTTTTTATTTCAGAGAGGTAGGGAGAGGGAAAGAGAGATAGAAACATCATTGATGAGAGAAAATCATTGATCAGCTGCCTCCTGCATTCCCCCTAATGGGGATCAAGTCTGAAACCCAGGCATGTGGCCTTATTTGGAATGGAACCTGGGACTCTTCAGTCTGCAGGGGGACGCTCTATTCACTGAG